GCCAGTCCATGCCCAAGATCACATCGAAGTACCGCATTTCAATAACATAGCAGTCGACCTCCAAAACATGCCCACCAATACTAACCTGAAGACCAGGAACCATAGAATCGGAGAAAATAATTTTTCCCGAGGCTAGACTAACCTCGAGAGGGTCACAATTGCACACATTCTCAATAGACAGGGCCTCCAAGCATCGAGAGGAGATAAAGGAATAAGTAGCTCCAGTGTCAGATAATGCAAAGAAAGGCACATTGGATAAGAAAATCATGCCATACATTAGGGGTGTTCACGGTCCGGTTTAAACAAAAAAAAACCATCAATCCGGACCGCGGATCGGTTAAATGGTCGGTTAAAAATGCTATAAAAAATCCGGTGGTTAATTTTTTTAAAAATCCGGAATAACCGGTCCGGTTAACGGATTACTTGTGGCAAACCGCCGGTTTAACCGGACCGGACAGATATATATTAAAAACTTATAACAAATATATATACATTCAGTCATTCACTATGGCCGCCAAATACAATACATTCACTTTCACTTTTTTGCCTTTTGTTGACTTAATTTTGTAAGACACTACAACTTTTTACTTTTTTCCCACTTTCGTTTTTCATTTTCAAATTTTCCCACCCCCTCTTCCTAATTTTTTGGGACGAAATGTGTATTTTTATGCTTATGGGACGAATTGTGTATTTTTTATTTTATTATCGTTGTTTTTCTTAATTTTTAGGCCCAAATAATTTCTTTTGGGTCCAAAATTGAAAAATAAAAATTAAATACAAAATGAAAAAAATAAAAATTGAAAGCCCAAAACAAGGATTTTTGATTTAACCGGTTAACCGCCAAACCGGATCGTCCAATACACTCCGGATTGTGGCCGGTTAAAAAATAAAACCGGTTCAGTTATGGACAAGAAAAAAAATTAACCGTTAGGTCCGGTTTGGTCATGGTTTGGGCTAAAACCGGACCAATTCGGACCGTGAACACCCCTACCAGACATGGTACCTGCGTTGTTGGCTGCCTCGTCATGAGCAAGGGTATAGACTCGGGCCTGACCTCCTGCCCGCTGCTGGTGTGGTGGGGGGGGGG